AAGGTCTCTTCAGCGAACTAACCGAATGTCGTATTTGTCAGGTCTCCACGCCTTAGGATATATTTATGGTCACCAAAACATGATTGAACACGAAGATCACTGACGCTGAATTTACTCTACCCGTCATGACCTTCATAAAAAATAATAGACCTAGAAGAGGAGGCGGACTGCCTTTGTATTACCGATCCGACCTGCATATTGATACCATCGACGATCCAGTAATGCAAATTGTCGACTCTCTTTGATGTTGCAGACACCTAATACGTGGTGATGTGTGTTTACTAGCAATAGTTTGCCACCCTCCATTGCCCAACTTTGGAATGGACCACCGCTCAGCTTCTGCTTTGAATTGCATACTGAAACGACCACACATTCACGTCTTTTTGGTTGGGGACTTCAACTTTCACGTAATAGAAGTCTCAGCGTCGCTGAGCGAACAAAACAAGGCTGATTTGCAAGAATTAATCGCCGATGTACCTCCGTACAAGCATGTCACCTCTTACACGGGATTCAAAGCAGGCGACGCACCATCTGTTTGGGATCTTGTGCTCACCAACGAGGAACTAACGGTCGATACCGTGACAATAGATACACCACCTGTCCGTGGTCACCACTCGACCTTGCTCTTCCTTTATATCTGCTACGTTGAGTACATCAGTGAGAACAACCACGAAACCTACATCGTCACCAATTACGATATCCTGTCCGAACTCGTTCAAAAAACCGCCTGGTCCATTCTAGCCAAGCAGCCGCCCGATGTAGTCTGGACGGTGTTTGCCACCCAATTCACCAAACTGGTGGCAGATGCGTCCGAATGTAACGCGTTTCGCTCGAAGCAAATGAAGTCCTTCTTGAGGAGCCGCAGTAGAAAATACCTGGCCTTAAGGGATTCAGCCTGAGGCGATTACAAAACCTGTCAGAGTAATCAGACCTTTGATGCTTACACAACTCGAGGAAATTACTGTCTGAAATTGAGTTGCAATGAAAAACTCCGGCACCAACAGAATGTAGTGGCGAAATTCAGTACAAATCCCAAATTGCTGTACAGACACGTCAACAAGCTCAGCGGAGTGCAGCTCAGGATTCCCGTTTTACGCGCAACTGATGGCTTGGTTCAAACACAAGAGGCAGCCAAGGTGCTTCATCAACATTTCATCCACACTTTCCAGAATGAATCATCGTCTCACACGCTTTAAACACAGCTCCCCCCGCCACCAGAGTTGAACAACATGTTGTTCACGGCAGCGAATGTGATAAGAAGACTATTGCTCTTGCGTATGCACAGCTCTCCTGGCGTGGATGACATCAAACTGAAGGCATTGAAGACAGCCGCCATGAACATCGCCGAACCATTAGCTCGATTGATTGAAGAATTTCTTGATGAACTGTAGATTTCCACTATGTGCAAGTAAGGAATAGTCATTCCTATTTACAAGGGCGGGAATAGGGCAGAGCCCTCGAAGTACCGTCCGATCACTCTCCTCCTCATTGTTGTCCAAAGTAATGAAAGGTATAATCGCAAAGGCGCTCCTAGTGTCACAGCAACACGGATTCTTCCGAAATCGGTCTTACAACACAAACTTGCTTCTAGCGCGTAAGCTGAATAGAATTAGTCGATGCCAGAGTAGGGGTTGACGTCAACTACCTAGATTTCGTCACCGCATTCCCCTTCACGAGCTTCGAAAATATGGAATCGGTGGCCTTTTGCTGGGTTAAATGAGCAACTTTTCATTCAACCTCAGCTGAATGTGAGAGTCCTCATTTCCATTTCTGACTCCATTAACGTTCAGTATGGTGTGCTCCAAGGATCGGTACAGAGGCCACGTTTATTCCCAGTATTTTGTAGCGATCATGCTAGTGAACTGAAGTCGAACATCTTGCTATTTGCAGACGATGTCAAAATCTAGCATGACATTCAGACAGTGGACGATCACACTGCACTGCAGAGCGATCTCGGCAGGACCTATACCTATTCATCAGAAAACCGGCCCCAGTTCAAGTTGGCGAACTGCAAAGTCGCGAGCATACTCCATCAGCTTATCACTGAAAATCGACTTGGGGCCCAACTGTTGTAACGTGCTTCCCAGGAATGTGACCTAACGGTGGTGGTGCAGGATGATCTTGGCTGCTCGAAATAACCTGAGAAGGCATCGAAAGCGGCCAGCCAACATCTTGGAGTTTTACGGAGAGCTTGTAGCAATATTTCCGCAAATGGTGCACGCCTACGTGAGGCCCGACGTGGAATACGCGATCCAGGCCTGGCGTCCCTGGTGCAAGCGCGAATCGACGCACTCTGAGCACACCAACCTAGAGGGACCAAATTTAGACGGTTGTTTCACCTCCTCTACCAGCGCAGGCTAAAAGTCCTGAAATTGTACAGCTGTGAATATCGATGTTAGCGAGGAGATCTCATCATTTTTACTTACTACTGACGAACCCAATTCACCGTTGTCGCAGCCAGTTGCAGCTGAGCCGAAATATCAAACAGAGAGGCCACCAGCTCAAACTTGCCATGCACTACAGTCGACTTGATTGCCGACAACAAGCTTTCTTCCTCGGGTGTCCCGAACCTGGAATCCTGTTCCAAATCACGTCATTCTTGCCCCTCACATTAACGCTTTTCACAAAACGCCTTGATGACACACTACCAATTGCGTTACTTGATATAGTCCGCTTCACTCGGAGAACGAAATAACACGAAGCAGACGATGTGTTTATCAGCAATCTCCGCAACTTGTCGATGAGGTTGCATTCATAAGTGTCCATGTGAATAGGTTAGATGTATCTAAAGTGGATTAACCTTTCACATCAGTAAGTAAAGCGACACAAGAGTGAGCGTGGTCAGTTCCGTTTTTCTAATCTTTCACGAGGTACGTGAAATATAACTACTCTTCATATTGTCTTGTGTGTGTACACTCCATTCCCATTTTAAACCAACGTTATGTAACATTACAGTTAAATAGGTAGACGCTTAAAGTGATGATTTACTTATCGTTTGCTCCTTTAATCTTACTTTTCACTCCCATCCCCATCCTACAGCACTTGTCAACCACACACCTTTTAACAGTGATAAATCATTATTCAATGTTCACAGGCTCGAAAGCTTTGGAGTCAGGGATTCTGTCTTTGGGTGGATCAGGAATTTCTTGCGGAGTCGGCAAGTGCAGATGAGAGTTCAGAGCGCGTTGTCCGATCCGGTCCACGTCGAATGGGGAGGTCCACGAGGATCAGTACTGGGGCCACTTCTGTTTAGCGTGTTCAGTAATAAGCTTACGCGTTTGATTGCTTTGAATTTCCTGTTGTTTGCTGGGGATGTCAAGTTGTAGCGGGCAATCGCCGACCAAAGAGATCACGATGCAACTTAGAGACTTGGAAAGGGCGCATGAAGTGCCACTCCATAATCTGATCCAGTTTTATTCGTCTTAGATAGTCCAAATTTGTCATCATCATATATAAGCTTAGAGACTATGGCCTACAAGTAGTCATCCAGGAGAGCGACCTTGGGATATTAATCCAGGCTGATCTGGGCTGCTCAGATCAATGTGAGAAGCTTTCAAAGACTGGAAGCCAACACATTTGCTTGCTTCGCAGGGCATTCGGGCGGTTTGATCCGCCTGTCTGTTAGCCTTTGCTTAGCACATAGGCGCGACCTCATGTGGAATATGGAATCTGGACCTAGCAGCTCTGGCACAAGCTAGGTCCCGCAGCACTCGCAACTCCACATCGAATGGCCACTAAATACCTTAAAGGGTTGTACTGCCTGCTATAACTACTTAGGCAGAAAAGTCTAAGGATGTGCATCGGTCAGTATCGGCGCCTATGTTGTGCCTTAATAATAGCCTACCAGATTGTAAGAAAACCCAACAACGCCCGCCGCCACCCACTGCAATTCAATCACAAAATGAATAGGAGAGGCCACCAGTTCAAGTTAGCCACGCAATACAGTCGGCTAGAATGTCGGCGTAAGTTTTGCTCCGTTCTTGCCTGGTAGCCATGGAATGCCCTTCTAACTTACGTTTTTTCCACTCCTGATTTATCTAGTTTAAAAACGCCTAGACGTGGCCTTAATCCATCTACATTATGAGATACAGCTTAAGTAATTCGAGAGATATAACGTGACGAACGTTGCACACCCGACATTAACCTACACAGCAAACATTGGCTCGTTTCTGGATACCTCTGTGATGAGTTGACCAAAATGATATGCAGTTGCACTGTTTTCTTTTCACTAGTCCTGGTTCTCATTCTGACCATCCTATGGGGCTCGTTAAGCATCAGTTTTATTATGCATTATATCATCATTATACACGTCGGCTAGAGGTGAGAAACACCTCAGCTACTGTGTCGCAATGAGGCTGGACCTTACCGTGGTGCGATGGTTTGTGTGCCACAGCGATCCATTGTGCTATGCTGGATGGTACTTTTGCACCTTCAGTCACTCATATCAGATTGGTCAATGGTTAGAGGCCAGACAAACTCTGCCTCCTGGTCCTCCAGGTTGGGGGTTGGAATGAGGTGGCTCCTTGTTTCCTTAAAGGGGACTGCTTGTAGCCCAACGCCAAACGCGCTGCATTGCGGTCAGGTTTTTGAACCAAAGGCTTTGGTTGAAAACCCTAATCATTCTCCTGTCTAGGCCTGGGCAACTTGACAGTATCCTGCCCAAGCAATACAATGAATTTCTCCCCAAACAATTTTTTATTATCCGTAATTCATCGTTGTTCGATTGTCCAATAATAAGAGGTCGAACGAAAGTTAGCAGTGACGGTACAAAGCCGATAGTGCTTCAAAGAAAGAAAAGCCAATCGAAGAGGCAATAGCATTGACGATTGAAGCGAACCTCGCTGACCGATTCTTATTTAACCTTTTACAGCAACGCTCTCGGACCAGTTGCACGTGATGTGGCCTTTGCGCACCACCACCTTGCGTACAGGTCGATGAAAAAAATTAAATACTGAGTCAGGCAGTCAAGCATATCTGCCAGAGAATTCACTGAGAGAAGAATGACGGAAAGACGAGCCGAGATTAAGAGCAAAATAGCAGATTTGCTGGCTAAAACCGGAGAACGAGAACGTTTACGTGAGTTCGTAGAGAATCGTTTGATTGAAACGGGATGGAACGAGAAGGTAAAACAGGCTTGCAAAGAATACATCAGAACGAAGGGAGTGGACAATATTACGGTGGACGAGGTGGTGCAAGCCATAATGCCCGCCGCAAAGCAGATTGTCCCCACAGAGGTGAGACAAGATGTCTTAGAACTACTACGTAAATTTCTGGTGCATCATGACATCGACGTATAACCGACCCACGAAGGATTGCCATAAAAAGACGTAGATCGGAGCAATCCCAACGCATGCGACTAAAAAGCCTACGCCAGAGTCATTATTTGTGGATTTTCATTTCCAAAATATTTGACGCATTTATGTCACCTGTCAGTCACGCGTTGTTACAGCCGTGTGATACTACGCATAAATACCACTTTTCAATTCGCGTGAAAGAAACATCTGTCAAATACGAAGTTGGTGAAGCCCAGTCGTTGCATCTGGAAACGCGGCAGTTTGCAAAATTTGTATACGCAACTGCTTCATTTTTGCTTCATGGAAAACAAAAACCGTTACAGTCCCTATTTAGGAGTGGATTTTTCTATAGAATTTTGCTTGTTTTAAACCTCGGGACTGATAATTAGTAAACCCTTACTCGGGCAGTCCAAATCAGCTGGGAGTGGTATCGGATTCAGTCGGAAATAAGAATATTGTGGATGTCACAATACTGCGCATCTCACATCCGTAGTTGCCGTATACCGTTGATGCAGTCTGTACTGAAACTTTTAGGTAACATGTTGAAAGACTGGAATTGACCTTAATTGAGTAGGAACTACGCCATTAAATCTTCGCGAGCAATCAGTGAACGCCAGTAGTATTTGGGCGTGAGACTCTTCGCAGTAGAGGACAGAACAGGAAGGATTCAGGGACGAAAGAAGCTTCCGCTTAACGAGCGTCCCGTTTCGTGTGCCAATAAGCTCCCAACACTGCGACTTGATAGAACATGCTTGATGTTATAATGGTGAAAAGACAAAGCAATTGTAGGAAGAACAATACGTCATCACGAAGTAATGAGAGTTGTGTGCTTGTAGAAGGACGAGTCCAATTATGAGTTCCCGTAAGTTGATTTTTTCGCCCCCAAAGCTGGGCAAGGATGTTGAATAACTTTAGAGAAGTCGTTTTTATGTGTATTGCAGCACAATAGCTAAGGGGTTTTTTACCTGCACCTAACGTGTATAGTGAATAATTAAGAGAAGTCGATGTAGGCCACACCGACCTCTAGCCAACATCCACAGTTTTCACCCAAATGTCTCTGGCTAACAGTAAATTCTGGCATAAACCATGTTGCGCTTATGCGATGCAGTTAAATTTGCTTAACTAATACGGGCACTAACTGAACAACTACCCCGTGGGGTTAGCTAGGTGGTTCGAGTTAATCCGTTCCAGCGAATAGGTCGGCGGCAGTGTTTCAGGACGTAGTGAGTTTTCGCTTGGCAAGCGTTCACCCTCGTAAAAGGCTTCAAATGCTCTTTCGATATTTGCCATTTCTGTGCCCAGGCTACTCATTTTTTAAAAACCGACTCGACGATGCATTACAACACCTGCATTACCTGATTTTATTTCCGTTCACGTGGTGTCACGAAATCGGTGTAAACGGATGTATATGCGTGTGTAAACGGATACGCGTGTGTTATCGTACACAGCTTGACTTACAGTTTATTTATACCACGGTGAGTCCCGTAGTGTGAACCTAAATTAGCCGACATTTTTTCTTAGCATTTGAATTTTCGCTGCGGTCATCCTGCGGGACCTGTTAAGCTACAGCTATTTACCCGTATACAACCATTGTTCCATTGTACATGACCAACTAACATCCCTTCTAGCTTAAGCCGCTATCGCTTGCAGCACATCGCTCCCATTCATCTACCTCTTACCGCTCTGCAATGACAGACTACTGGAAAAGCCGAGTATATACCAGCATGTCAAACACAAACTGCTACCTTACAATATCTTCGCGAACTACCCACCAACATGGATATATGTAATACACAATCCGTGGTACAGATATTGGGCCATCGGTATAATGGCTGAATAAGAAAACAGTATGAATAATAAGAAAAGAGCGACAACACCAAAAGCTTTTTTGTCTAGATTACCACACCGTTTTTCAAATTTTTTAGTTTATTCTTTTGCAGGGGGAAGAAGAAGGGACACCGCAACACACCGACGCACACGTCCACCATTGACATTGGTCTTGAGCCATGGCTTCCAAGATCTTCAGCCAGCAAGTATCCGCATCTCTCGGACCCCAACCAAATAGTCAACAACAACCGGCCGAGGCCAACTGTTTCGTCAACTTTTTCCTGCGGCTTCTCCACGCTGTAGACTGTCCACCAGACCGCCTCTTCCAGCCCTGTCCAGTAACCGCAAACAACGCTCGACGCGGGTAACGCTGGACAGGCATGCGCAATACGTGTCCCAACCATCGCAGTTGATGCAGTGAGACGAACTCCTCGAGTGAGTGGCTTCCACGTCCCAAGACACGCTGTCTAACTTCCACATTGATTACGTGGTGCTGCCACCACACACGGGCAATGGACCGCAGAGTGCGGTGCTCAAACACGAATAGCCTGCTCAAGTCATGTTTACGAATGCGCCAGGTCTCGCATCCGTACAACAGTACTGCACGAACAGTTGCACAATAGACCCGCCCTTTGATGGAGAGATGCATATCGTGGCGACGCCACAAGTGCCTCAGCCTAGAAAAAGCGAGGCGTGCTCTCGAGATGCGCATCGAAATATCGTCTCCAACAGCCCCGCCAGCAGTGATGCAACTTCCCAAGTAGACAAATTTCTCCACAACCTCGAGTGTCTCACCACCAAGAGTGAGTGCAGGCAGAGGCACCTGCCAGTCTTGGAAGAGAGCCTTGCATTTGGATGGCGAAAAGTACATACCATACTTTGATGTTTCAATCGCCAAGCGGTTTAATGCAAGTTGCACAATGTGTGGATCGTCACCCAGCAAGAAGATCTCATCAGCATCAACCAAATCTAAAGCAGAGTTCCCTTTATCGTTCTAAATAAGACAAAAAGAAGATTGGTATTGCGAGACGGAACCATTTTGTGTTATCTGCTCACTCGCAAAATAACAACATAAATATGAATCACGTGACAGAAATATCAAAGTTTTGAAACTGGTCACAAAGGAAAGTTACGTAGATGCAAGAATAACAGACCAACGAACTTGAGCTTAGGGTCATGAGCCTCCAAGGAATCTTCAGGGAGACTGTTAATTGTTTTGTGCACAATGGATAGGGCGATGCCGGTTAAGTGCCACCGCTTCGGCAAACCTCAATACTTTGGGGTTGTCATTTCGATAGATAACTGTAAATATTGACTAGGGTCCACCTAATGACCTAATTCGAGTAAATGTCTGGCGATCGATGATGCCGGCAGCTTAGATACCTTTTCTCGTTCGGCTGCTCGTTGTGTTGATAGTTTGGCAATCCGTCTTGGGATATGTGACCAGTTGTAAAGCTTCGATCTTTCTGTCACGTGATTCAAGGTTATGTCGTTAGTTTGCGAGTGAGCAGATAACAAGAAATGGTTCCATCTGGCCATACCAGTCTTCTCGTTGTTTTATTTAGAATAATCCAACTCGATAACTCGACTAACTGGGAGGAGGTCAACCCCAGCATTAAACAAACCGCCCAGAGCGTTTTCAGGACATCCTCAATGCAAAATTGAATAGGAACCGAGAGATAGGACATCCTTGTCGAAATCCACTGGAGACCACAAAGGTAGGCGAAAGCTTGCCATAAGCACTAACCCTGCCGGAGGTCAGACTATATAGAGCGCGCAATATGGAGACGAGATTCACGGGGACACCATTCCTCAGTAGGCAGTGCCACAGTACCGTACGATCGACAGAATCGAAGGCTACACGGATATACAGGAACACAGCAACCGTTGGCCTCTGCTACATATGGCTGAGCTCGAGGATCTGGCGGAGTGTGAAGATTTGATCGATGCAGCCGTGAACAGGGCGAAACCCAGCTTGATCTTCTCGCTGCAACGATTCGCGCGTTTGGGATAGCCTGCGAAGTATGATGGACACCAGCAGTTTGCAAACGACGAGGACTAAGCTTATACCTAAGTAGTTGAAGCATATTGTGCACAGCCCCTTTTTGAAGATTTGGACGACTGAGAGGATCGTCCTGTTCTCCGAGCAGTGTATTTCGGTTGCAGACGTTTCGTTGCCAAACTAGGCAATGTCTTTAGTGCGGCTATTCAGTCCTGATTCGCGGTCTCGCAAACCAATGTCAGATCCGAGTGACTATTGATTCCCTCCAATATGATGAAACTTGCTCTTTTGACCAAATTTTCGAGAACAAAACGGTGAGTTCTCGAACCAACGAAGTGCCACCATCTTTAAATATAACTGGAGGAAGACTATCAGGGCCGGGGGCCTTATAACGCTTCGTATGCCGTAGCTCCTGCCCGAGTTCCTGGTAAGAGGGGGATCTGTGGGGGTAGACCACTCGGCCCCAGCGCGAGCGCCAGAGGTAGCAGATGGAGCTGGGGGACAACAAAACTGCGAGTCAAAATGTTTGGCCCACCCCTCCAACCGTCGTTGAGGATTGGTGATTAAGGTGCTATCCTCTTCGCATATTGTTTCACTTATACCAGATCGAACACCTTCGGTAACTCGAATGAGATGGAAAAGTTTTCCGGTATTACCAAAGAGACTAGCAAGCTCCATCTCCCTAACAGGTTCACACCACCAAGCTTCGCGGTCCATTTGCAGATTCCTGCGCAACGCTCAAGAAAGGAATTGGCGTTCTTCACTGTGTCTGGAATCTTACGGGATCAAGCGGCGTTTGCCCATCAGCGACAAGGAGACGGCGGAAATCCAATGTGTCGGTGGGTGACGGGCAACTCCACGTGTCGGTACTGGCGGAAGCCAAAGCATCTTTGACCTGAGCCCACTGCGAATCGAGATCACTGTCAATAGTTGAGCCAAGCAAGGTTGACAGTGAGGCTTGGTACCTGGTTAAAATCGCAGGGTTTTGTAGATTCGCGATGTCCGGTCGGTAGTGAGCGCGCTTAGGTGATCCTCCGAAACGCATGCAAATCTTATCACGAACCAATGCGTGATCGGAGTCTAGACAAGTTGACCAGTACGATCGGCAGTC